GCAGATTAAAAAAGTGCCATTTGATAAAGGAGCAAGCTTTTTTACTTTGGTTTTGCTTGGTTTGGTTGAAGAAGAGCCTTTATTTCAAGTCTTGCAATTTTTTTACGGCTTTAAGGCTATTCTTTCCTTGATTCTGTCTCTCAGCTTACATTTCTTGTTTCTGTCGTGTTTCTTTTAGACTCGCCCCTCTTCCAGTTTCTTTAAATCCTATTTCTAATATTTTTCTAAATAAAATTTTTGGTCAGTGTACATTTGTTTTCTTCATGAGTATTACATGAATGTCAATAATCTTGTCTGTTTAGGTGAGAACAGTGTAGGCCTTGAGCAGGTTGTAATCGATTGACAGGTATTTCAGTGAAAAAACGCACGGTTTTAATATTAGAATCAGAATATAACATCTTCAGAAATGGGAAGGCAGTCTTTCTTAGAGTGTAACAATTACAAGGTAACATACAGTCATAATAATTAAAATAGATAGAATGTGAATTCAGAAATTATCCAGAAGGACCTTATATTATAAGTTTTTAAAATAAGAAGACTTCTCATAAATTAGGACATTTTTATTGGCTTTCCCTAGATGCAAATAGAATATTATGATTGAAATCTGATTGCTTCAGAATATTTATTAGCTTCAGGAATGCTCACTTTGTTAACCTAGATGGTGGAAACATTTTTATTGTAGTTTTCTTATTTGTATTGAATTCATAGGGTCTAGTTTTGTTTTTTTTTTAAAAATTTTTTCCATACAAAAATATAAGGTCTAGTTTTAGATTTCACTCTTTAAATAGGTTTTCAGTGACCTTTGGGAAATATCAAAGACTACAGATTAACAAAATGAAAGGCCATTAGTTTGAAATTGACCACCATAGGGCAACACTTTAAATTCCTAATGTTGATACATTTTAAATTGGGGTAATGTAAAATTAACAGATCAGATCTGTTTTTTTGCTCAACACATTATAATGCAGTTTTAAGGACTATAGTAAAATATTTTAGGGTGATAACTTAGTTTCTTCTTTAAAAGTTTTCTAATTCCTTATCTAGTTATTCTTTGAATTATTGTCACTTATCTGTACCCTTCATATATAAACTTAAAATAACTCTAATAATTATTTAGAATTATTTCTGATTGTTCTAAAATGTTTTTCTAAGGCTATAAAATTTTGTTAATTAGAACAGAAGATTAAATTTCACAAAAGAACTACAAGTTTATACACTGAAAATAGAAACCATTGTTGAAAACAATTAAAGGTGACCTAAGGTCCCTATGAGTCAGAATCGACTGGATGGCAGTGGGTTTGATTTTATTTTTAAGTAAATGAAGAGCTGTCCTATGTCACAAATCATGAAGACTTGACATTGTTAAGATGACAACACTCTCCTAATTGATGTGTAGATTCAGTGCAATCTCTATTCAAATCACATATGGTCCTTTTTGCAGAAATTGACAAGCTGATCCTAAAATTCATATGAAAATGCAGGGTACCCAGAAGAGCCAAAACCGTCTTGAAAAAGTAGAGGAAGGCTGGAAGACTCCCATTTCCTAGTTTTAAACCTTCCTACAAGCTGCAGTAATCAGGACAGTGTGTTGCTGGCGTAAGGATAGACATACAGATCAGTGGGCTAGAATTAGGAGTCCAGAAGTGAACTCTCATATTTATGGTCAGTTCATTTTTGACATGGGTGCTAGTAAATTTAATGGGGGAAAGGATAGTGGCTTTTCAGCAAATGGTGCTGGGACACCTGGGTATTTACATGCTGAGAGTGACGTTGTATCCCTACCTTGCATTGTCTGCAAAAATTAACTCAAAATGAACCAATAGACCCAAGTGTAAGGGAGAAAACTATCAAACTCGTAGAAGAAACAGGGATAAATCTTCCTAACCTTGGAGTAGATACTGATTTCTTAGAATGACTATAAAAGCACATGTGACAAAAGACAAAATAGCTAAATTGTACTTTTTCAAAATTAAAAACTTCGTGCTTCAAAGGACACCTTCAAGAACGTGAAAAGTTCACCCAAAAAAATAGGTTGAGAAGATAGAGGGTTAATATGTTGTGGGGTTGTTAACCGATGTCATAAAACAACATGTGTACTACTGTTTCATGAGAAACTATTTTTTCTGTAAGCCTTCACCTGAAGTACAATAAAATATAAAAAAGAGTGAAAAGTCAATGGAATAGGAGGAAATATTTGCAAAAATTAGATATTTGATATCCAGAATATATGAAGAACTCTTATAATTCAGCAATAAAAAGACAACAGAAGTGATGACTGGATAAACCAAAATGTGGTATGTCTATCCTATGATATTTTATTTGGCAGTAAAAAGGAATGAGGAGTTAGTTCCTGGGTGGTGCAAACAAACCATTAACACCCTCGGCTGCTAACAAAAAGGCTGGCGGTTTAAGTCCAACCAGAGGCACCTCAGAAGAAAGGCCTGGCAATCTACTTCTAAAAATATCAGCCATTGAAAACCCTATGGAGCACAGTTCTACTCTGACACTCTTGGGGTCGCCAAGAGTTAGAGTCCTCAACAGGAACGGTTAAAGAGGAAAGAAGTACTGATACATGCTACATTGTGGATGAATCTTGAAAAATTAACCTAAGTGAAAGAAGTCAGTTGAAGAACATATATTCTCTTTACATGAAACGTCCATTATAGGCAAATTTGTAGGAACAGAAGGTAGATTAGTGGTTTGCCAAGAGCTGAGGTGGGGGGAAGGGAGAAGGAGCAATAGCTGCTAATGGGTATGGGGTTGGTTTATGGGGTGATGAAAATGTTCTCAGATTAAAGAATGGTGTTCTCAGGTTAAAGAATGGTGGTGATTTCACAGCACAAACCACTGAATTGTTAAAGAGGATAAATTTTATGGTATGTGAATTATATCTCATGTTATTAAAAAAAGGGGATTATTTAACATTTCTTAAAATACTTTTGCTTTAGAGTTCGACTAAAATTTGGGGCAGGGCAAATGTCTATATTCTTTATATAGCAAACTGAGGGATCTCTTGGAATATACCCTAGAGAAATAAGAGCCGTCACACAAATAGATGTACACACACCCGCGTTCATTGCAGCACTGTTCACAATAGCAAAATGATGGAAACAACCTAGGTGCCCATTGATGGACGAGTGGATAAACAAATTATGGTATATGCAAACAATGGAATACTACTTAATGATAAAGAACAACAATGAAGCCGTGAAACATCTTATAATGTGGAGGAATCTGGAGGATATTATGCTGAGTGAATTTAGTCAGTCACAGAAGGACAGATATTGTATAAGACCACTATTATAAGAACTCCATAAAAAGTTTAGACACAGAAGAAAACATTCTTTGATGGTTACGAGGGTGGGGAGGGAGGGGGAGGGTTATTCACTAACTAGATAGTAGACAAGACAGGTGAAGGGAAGGACAGCACACACTCCAGGATAAGTCAGTACAACTGGACTAAACCAAAGCTAAGAAGTTTCCTGAGTACAGCGAAACACTTTGAGGGACAGAGTAGCAGGGGCAGGGGTCTGGGGACCATGTTTTCAGGGGACATCTAGGTCAATTGGCATAACAAAGTTTGTTAAGAAAATGTTCTGCATCCCCATTTGGTGAGTGGCATCTGGGGTCTTAAAACCTAGTGAGTGGCCATCTAAGATGCATCAGTTGGTCCTGACCACCTGGAGTAAAGGAGAATGAAGAACACCAAAGACACAAGGAGAGTATTAGCCCAAGAGACAGAAAGGGCCACATAAACCAGAGGCTGCATCATTTTGAGACCAGAAGAACTAGATGGTGCCCAGCTACCAGCAGTGACCGCCCTGACAGAGAAAGGAGCAGAAGAAAAGTGAGGTGCAGAACTCAAATTCTAGTAAGAAGACCAGACTTAATGGTCTGACTGAGACTGGAGGAACCCCAGAAAGCATGGCCCCGGACTCTCTGTTAACCTAGAACTGAAACAATTCCTGAGGCCAACACTTCAGACAAAGATTTGGGTGGACTGGGACATAAAATGATACTCACAAAGAGTGTGCTTCTTAGCTCAAGTTGATACATGAGACTAAATGGGCAGCTTCTGTCTGGAGGTGAGATGAGAAGTCAGAGAGGGTTAGGAGCTGGTTGAATGGACATGGGAAATCTGGGGTGGAGAGGAGGAGTGTGCTGTCACAGTATAGGGAGAGCAATTAGGGTCACATAACAATGTATGTATAAGTTTTTGTATTAGAAACTAACTTGAAGTGTAAACTTTGACTTAAACTACAACAATAAACAAAATTTATACACACACACAAACCAAAAAAATACTGAGGGATCTTAGATATTCGTTGGAGTCTTAAAATACGAATTCCTTGTTGGTTTGCCAAGGATGACTATAAATAGAACTCTGAATTTTTACCTCTTCTGAGCCCTCATGAATAACTTTGAATCCTTTTGTCCATGTACTACAATGTGATCTAGAAAAACAAGTCACGTCTCATTGTTTTAAAGAAAATACTTAAACACTTCTATATGTAAAAAATGTCGTTTGGTAAGAAACTGAAAACAAAAAATGAGTTCATAGTCATTTTTATGTGTAGCCATGAAATAACATGCATTTACTTTATATTGTAACTTAAGAAATAAGATGTTTTTATGTAATTGTGGTATTGTCAAATATCTTTACTTTAGAGCTTTACCTTTGGAATTTTGATGTAAAAGGTAGAAAATAGGTAATAAAAAGCAATTTATGAGGAATTGATCTTCATAAGTTTGAGTCAGTTTATTTTCTAATAGCTTTTGTACATACCTCTGAGGCAATTATAATAGGTAACATTTGTGTGGTTCAGCTTTTCTGTTAATGTTTATTTTTAATGTCTAAGAAAATGTATATTTAAAACAAAACAAAATGAGCTATGCAGAGCTTAATTTGGTCTGTAAATATAGTGACTTATCTTTAGAAATCTCTGAGAAGCCTAATAATTTGACATGTAAGTCTAATGATTTCTTTTTCTTTCATACAGGATCTGGAAATAGTGTATTCCTATTTACATGGTATGGAAGCCTTATCAAACTTGAGGGAGCATCAACTTAGGTATGTCATTTTAAGATTGATTTAATAAGAGGATATTCAAATTTTATATGATCATTTATTATAGTTAAGAAGTAGACTTAAAGATAAAGCTTATTTATGAAAACTGTACCTGATGTAGCCCTTATACTTGGCTTTTTATGGTTTTTACAAAATTGAATTAAATTTTATCCACACAATAAATTTTTTACATTTCTGCCATAGTAATTAACTGTCTCTCTCACGCACGTGCACACACACACACACATTCACACACTTACACATACCCAAAGTAGTAAACTCTACTTGGTGAATATATACCAAAACCAAAAATAGCTAAACTCATTGTTGTTGAGTCGATTCTGACTCATGGCAGTCCCATGTTTTAAGAGTAGAACTGCTCCATGGGGTTTTCAATGGCTGTAATCCTACTCTGGAAACCCTGGTGGCATAGTGTTTAAGAGCTATGGCTGCTAACCAAAGGGTTGGCAGTTCGAACCCACCAGGTGCTCCTTGGAAACTCCGTGGGGCAGTTGGGTCGCTATGAGTCGGAATCGACTCGATAGCAGTGGGTTTGGTTTTTTGGGTTTGAATCCTACTCAGCACTCTGATGCATTAGAAACTGGAATGTTTTAACTGTTCAAAGAATGATTAGGTTTATTATTTTAGAATGTTCTAGGTATTTGTATGGAATACATTTATTACGTTAAGTAGACTGCCCTTTTCTGGGAAACACAGTTTATATCATAGCTTTTTTTATATGGTCTGCTCATATAAAAATCTTATCACTTTTTTTGTACAATGATAGAGTAACTTTATTTAAGGTTATTTCGGCTTTATAATAAAAAGAACAAAAATATCTTGTATAATGCAGTGACTTTTCCTTAACTGGAACGGAAAGGAAAGGACTCTGGGAGGATGGAGTACATATAAACAAAAACTAGAATCTAATGGGAAGGTTTTGTTTAAGAAAGTTTGCTTCCTCCATGCCCAGCTAGTAGAGATGCCAGCAATTGTTGGGAAAGGAATGTTTCCCTGTATATTTTCCCTTCACTCTTTAAATACTCATTAATTTGTGAGCATGTCAGTTTTATATTTAGTTGTTAATTGAAAAAAGTGTCAGAAGGATTGAGTACTTCTAAAGTTAAATTATTAATGAAAATCATTTAAATTAGATTGCAGGTTAAGTGTTTAAAAATACAGTGCAGTTTTATTGGAAGGGGCAAAACCACTGGGATTTTAGAATATGGCTCAAAGCAGAAATAATTTTTAAAGTGTGTAACTTTTCTGTGTATTAGAAATAGTCACTTCTGTATGACAAATTTCCTAAAGAGAAATCATATTAAAACGATCTACTTCAATGGAATTCACTTCATTCCCAAATAAAATGTCATGTTCCCAAGGTACATATATTCATACATATACACTTGTGGATAATATTTAGATATATTGATTATGTATGTCTATAGTACACAGGTAGTTATAAATTATTTCAATAATGGAAATTCTGTGCAATAGAAAAAAGAAAATTTTAATATTTCTTGTGGAAATTTTCAAAATTACAGAAGTAGCAATAGTAATACAATGAACTCCCCTATATCCCTTAGCCAGCTTCAGAACTATCAACTTTCTGCCATTCCAAAGGTAATTTTTGGTTAGGAATAATGAATTCAAATGTATGATATAGTCTGTTTATACTTTAGTCTATTTTCGAGCCTTACACAGTTTTGTTTGCTGGTATGAACTTACAAGAAGGGCCTTTAGGATGTTCACATTATTGTAGCTGTGTTGAAAAGTCATTTGTTTCTCTCATTTATGGAAAAAAACCAGCTTTAACTGACTTATCTCCAGTTAGAACAAGGTCAGGATACCTAAATGAATAATAAAAAAGGAGATGCAGATAAGCCCAGTGACTTGGACAGACTGGTTTATAATTTTACCATTTCTGGGAAAAATACATCTCATTTAGATAAGTTATTTTTCTTGAATTTTACAAATGAAAGTTTTACCCCTGGGAATAAAAACAGTCAGTTCAGAAATCCACATATACAGTTTTCCTCTGTTGTGGTCGGGGGGAAAGCCAAATGCACATAATCAAGATTTTCCAAGTCTCTTTATTCCATATTGGACAACAGAGCAAAATTCCCCTCTTCTAGAGGGGAAGAGGCATTATCTTCTTTGAAGGCTTCAGTTTTGCCTTGTGGCTTATCCATGTATAAGCAATATGTTGATTCTGAGCTGTTAAAATAGATGTCAGTACATTACTATAAGGTCACGCACTTGGTGCAATGTAAAGGTTTGCAGATCTGTACTTCAGAACTGTATTATTTTTTCAGCACAACTTTTATTTTTTTCTGAGGTTTGCCCCTTTAATCCATGTAAAGTAGAAGCAGCATGCTTGTTCAGGGATAATGTAGTTAGGAGCTGAGGCTAAATATCTGTAAAAAGCGGAGTAGGGCCATTTAATGTTGGAATCAACAGCCTGCTGAACTATATATATTATTCAGCTTTACGGCCGAATGTAAATAGTATGATGTAGGTGCCTTTTGATCATTAAAAATGAACTAAATTAGGGTTAGTGTACTCTGTTTAGGAATTCAAGGAAGAACAATATGCTTTCCCTAATAATGTTTAAAGAAAAAAACATTTTGTTACTTTGTTTCTTTAGACCATAGTTATATCAAAGATTTTATTCTGGTAAAACCTGATGACACCCGTTAAATTTATTTATTCAGCCAGCACGTATTAGTCGAGTCCCTGCTATGTGCTAGACACTGATGTAGGCAGTGGGGATTGAGCAGTGAGGTAGACCTCCCTCCTGCCATCCTGGAGCTTATTATGTTCCTAGGGAGGCAGACAAGGCCTAGGTAAATGGATCAGTGTTGTTTCATTCAAGTGTTGGTATGTCGAGCATGGGTAGGCATGGGCTAAGGGGATGAGAAAATGGAGATGGAGTTTGTAGACAACTCCGAAAGGAGGTGTTCTGTATCAGAAAAGCAAAATGCGGATAATAGCTGGAGGGCGATGTGGGGCCGGGATGGGTGGTACTAAAATGTGTTTATGTACTGGTAGAGGTGATCCAGTAGAGGAGGAGGAATAGGTGATGGTGCAGGGGGAGGAGATGAGCTCCCAGGAATGGAGGGACTTATGTAAAAGAGGCACCAGAGCCAGGTTAGAAGAAAAGAGGGTGGGGCAAAGACCCTTTTTCCAGGATAGCAGGAAACAAAGCTGACCTGTTACTTCAGACCTAGACACCCTGGGTGTCGGCTGCTAACTGAAAAGGTTGAGTTCATTCAGAGGTGTCTCGGAAGAAAGGCCTGCTTCTGAAAAAATATGAGCCACGATTCTACTCTGACACACATGGGTCGCCATGGGTCGCAATCACCTTGATGACAAGTAGCTTTGGTTTATTTTTAGACTCATTGCTGTGAGTGTCATCATTTCCTGTTAAGGATTGGTTTGATTCAGTCTGTTAAAGAAAACAGCATGTTTACTTGTGTGAATTCAGGATCTAATGCTGCCTCCTGGAATTAACATACTCAGTTGGGATATTCTGAGTTCTGTACAAGGGATGGAGAGAGTAAGAGGCTATAGTAGGACGGTGGGGGTGGGAAGTGCGGGTAGAAAAGAACATTTTCAAGTGAAATATCAAGAGTATGTGGCTTTGTTGGATTTAGCGAACAGAGGAAAGGGTGGCTCTGAGTTGATTTCCATGTTTCACACCGATTGAAGAATAGTGACCTCATTGACTGAAATGGAAGCTCTGTTAAAATAATGTTTACAACTAGTCTTTTTTGTTTACGAGCTCCTTCATAAGAAGGAGTGATTATTCTTTGTTTTGCATTTCTGTTTGGGAAATTTTATTTGGGCTTAATATAATAACGTGCTTCTTGAAGATGCTGTTCTTGAGATAATCTTGAATATTTAAACATTTATTCATATTTTTCACAGTTTCATAATTTTTTCTTCAGGGATGAATCAGCTGAAATAACAAATCTTGACGCTTATAAAGTCTTCACTTGGTCGTTAGTCACAAAGAAAGACTGAGTTAATAAAAGCCTACTTTTGTCTAAAATTCCATACTGTTCAGTAGCATTAATGTCAGACTGAGAATGATGTTATCACTTTTAAAATTGTTAGGTTTTCCTTTCTAACTGTTGGGTTCCTTCTCATTCTCTTTTTAACTTAATTTATTCACATGTAGTTAACAAAGCATAAAATATATACAGTTTTGGTCCCCATAAAATAAACATAGCAAAGGCGACATCTCGGTGTTTTCTTTATTAGCACCTCCTTACTAGATTTTATTTTTTTAATTTGATCTTGTTCACACAGGCACCAAAAATATTTATCAGAAATATTTAACTTGAGACTAGTAAATGATTACGACGAACCAAATAAAGAAACTTTAACATTCTAGACTACATGGCTTATTTAAAAATTTAAACTAGTAAGATGTTATTTAACAATAGATGTTGAACTCCTGTCTTTATTTCTTTACAGGTTAATGTGTGAAACTGTGAGATACGAAAGACACGAAGCCAATGAAGTCTTGTACTAGTAAGTGCTTCTTTTGTAGAGTGTATAGTGCAGTGAGATACGTAGTTTCCTGAGGTATGAAAGGAGCATTATTAGTAGCTCGCTGAGTCAGGCTGACCTTGTTTTTGCAGTAGAAATATGAAACATTTCAGCCGTTTACTGTCATAAAGTAAAAGTCGACAGTGCTTTACGGATGACTTCACATCTGTATCTGTATCTGAGCTCTCACTCGGGGCTCAGGGATTTTGTTTGCATGGACGCTAAACTGCCCACATCTCTTGGGGCATGGTTTCTTCTTTAAATAACGTGGATATTCACCTCCAGATGTATAACATATTCCTTAAAAAAATAACAATTGATTTTGTCTAAGGAATATGATAAATATATAGTACATGAACGTTGGTGTATTAGGGATGTATAAACTACGGCTTATTAGACATTATTTTGTTAATGATGTTTGTCATGAGTGACTGGTATGTTGACTTTCTTCATAGTTTACTACTTTCCACATTATAGGGAATATTGAAGGAAATAAAATGTATATTCTGTCCCCAAGGGTAGGATATCTGTTGGAGGAAGTAGATGTAAAAGGGAAACAATAGCAGCAAAAAACCCTAACAAAGAAAAGTAACTCTGAAAATCTGTATGTGAACTAGGGACCCAGAAACACAAGGAAGTGGCCCTTTACCTAGGTCTCACAGGTGTGTCCAGTGGTCTAAGGAGACTTTCTGAGCAGAGGAGTGGGATGGCAGAGAGGTGAAGGGGTCTGACCTGACGCTTTGAACCCTATGGCAGGGTTAGTGCTGCTGGCATGTGGTGTGGGTCAGAGTGATGGAACAAGGGAAAGGCAGGCTACAGTGGTAATTGCTTGTGAATGTGTTGCTAAAAATGTTTGTCTTAATTCTTCAGACAACTAGAAATGAGTTTTTTCCCACTTAAATAACATTTTATTATGGAAAGTTGTGTTGTAAAGGTGCCGTCGCGTTGGTTCCAGCTTATAGCGACCCTGTGTATGACCGAACGAAAATTGTAAACATACACAGAATTAGAGACAGTAGTATAATGGACTCCCCTGTACTCATCATGGGGCCCTGGTGGCGCAGTGGTTAAGAGCTCGGCTGCTAACCAGAAGGTTGGCAGTTCAAGTCTGCCATGCGCTCCTTGGAAACCCACCCTCTGGGCCAGTTCCGCTCTGTCCTGTAGGGTCGCTGTGAGTCAGAACCAACTCAATGGCAGTGGTTGTTTTTACAGGTGTTCATCGTCCAGATTGTCCAGTTGTGGCCAGTTACGTTGCTTCTCTCGTTCCCTCCTCCCAATTCCAAATAGATTATTTTGATGAAAACCCCAGACATTATATCAGTTCATTCATAATTATTTAGATATATATCTTTAAAATGTAAAGACTTAAAAACATAATGTAACCACGATATTATCATCCAAACTTAAAAGAAATTCTTCAGTATCATTAAAATATTCAAATTTCTTTGTCTCAAAAACATTTCCTTTGTTTTGCAGTTTGTTGATTTGAGTCAAGATCTAAATAAGGTCCATCCATTGTGATTGGCTGACATGTTTCTTGAGTCTCTTTTCATCTGTAGCTTGGTGGCCAGTTTCCAAGCAAGGAAATGACGTGACTGAGTTTCCCCAGCATCACCCATTGCCTCGAAGGTAGTGAGCAACGAAGGGTGGATTGGATTGAGGATGGGCAGGGAGATGAGTTAGGAGACATTTTTGATAATCAGATGTTAAGTGCTTGAACGTACGGCACATACTAAAGGGCTGGAAAGTGAGGGAAGGATTTTAGAGGAAGATATAGGGGATAGAATCTCGGATGATTCTTAGGTTATAATTTCTGAAACTGTGATGTCTACAAGCTACTTAGCAGACCTTTGTAACTGTCCCCTCAGAGCTTAAACTAGCATATATCAAACGTGAAAGAGAAGTCAACAGCCAAGACATAAATGATCCTGTGAAAACTAACGACATGTAATGAGCACTCCTGTGTTCTGCATCCTCTAATAAGTGCTTTACGTGCAGTAACATGTGTAGTCATCATAGCTGTAGGTCTTAGCATCATCCCAGTTTAACACGTGAAGGAACGGAGCCTTTGGGAGGGTAAGGAATTTGCCCAAGGTCCCACTGCTCTCACTGCCTGCACGGGAGCCCAGGCGTTGGGATTCTGCAGCCCAGTCACCAGTGCTTCTCAGCCTTTTTCATGTTATTAAAAAAAACCAAACCAAACCCATGGCCGTCGAGTTGATTCTGGCTCGTAGCGACCCTGTAGGACAGAGTAGAACTGCCGGCCTAGAGTTTCCAAGGAACGCCTGGTGGATTTGAACGGCCGATCTTTTGGTTAGCAGCCATAGCACTTAACCACTGGGCCACCAGGGTTTCCATTTCATGTTATGGCCCCATAAAAATGATGATATTTGTATACATGCTGGAAGAAGCACACCATCGCTCACTGCCCCTGGTCTTCCTGAAGGGTGGTGGCGGCACTGAAACCCGCTAGCAGCTCTGCCTGCACTCTCCTGCCCTGCCTGCACTGTCTTGCTTCAAAATGAAGATAGATCACAGTGCCGTTATGTCTTTAAACGTACTTATTTTAGTTTTTGATTTTTTTTTTAAAGTCACTTTAGAAGTTGACTAAGAGCTGTGCTGATAATGCAGAGCCACGTCTTAAGACAATCCTGAACTGAATGCATTTGACTTGGTAGCTGGGGTTTGGAGTCGACTGTAGCAATTGCTCATATTTAACTAGTTGGAATTAGGGGACGGTGTCAGTTAGCAGTGGAGACTCTGTGGATATTTAATAGATCATGGGTGCATGACACCAAAAATTCACAAACGTCTGTAGAGTCACTTTATCGGATTCCTAGTATTCTCTCGGTCTTGTGATGGAGGATAATTGAAGCCCTTTCTTCGGTGATCCTTAAACAGACATATTCTGGTCTTACCAGTTGGTGTAAGTGCAACGTTGTGGTGTGTAAATCTGTGATAACACTACCCCACTTTTGGACCTGCTGTCCTTACCTCATAGGGAAATGACCTGTCCGTTCTTGCTTTCTGGAGCTTAGTTGAAAGTACATATGTAGACAGAATATCAAAGACTTCCGTTTTATGATCAAGAGATGAGTGGTTATTTTCCTTAACTAAGTCTGTGTGCCAGTGACGTCTGTGATTCTAATCATTTCACCAGGTAAATACAGTCATCTTTTGATCCACCTCTGTACCTCATTTTTCTCATCTATAAAATGGAAAGAATGGAACTGACTCTACCGGGTTGGCGTGCGAATAAAATGGAGTAATATGTACCAAGTGCTTAGAGCGGTGCGTACGTACAGGAATGTCAGCTGCTGATGTCGTTATCATCATCATCGTCGTTTTGGTCCCTTACACTTTGGTCTCCCATGTTTTTAGACGCGTTAAACACTTGTTGGGAAGGAATAACGATAGTGATGCTCTAACTTTCACGCTGTCATAGTTTAACATAAACCGACATGATGATAAAAGTGCTGTTTTAAGCTCGTATTTACGTTTGGAGGAGAGTTGTGGTTCTGATAAAATTTAATCTAAAAAGATTTGGAATTGCCCGCTTAGGATCTAGTTGTGTTCATTTGTAGTAGGAAGTTAGATGAACTTACTTGAACTTAATACATTGGACAAGTATATCAGTTAATTTCTGCTTTTCTTTTATTAGTTATTTGCCATATGCCAGGTATTTTGTTGGCTTGGGAATACTAAGAAGGATAATAGAAATTCCTAGCCCGAGGGATCTTAATTTAGAGATATCTTTATTTAAGAATTTAATCTGAAATGAGACAAACATGTTTATAAAATCACCGGGTAAATAATAGTAAAAAATACCATCCATAAGCAGCAGAGTCTCCATTTGGGAATTTGTTCTTTTGAGAAGTTCTTAGTCCCTGGAGGGATCTCATAGTGCAACATGGAAGTGGGGTTTTTAAAGCTGTCAGTTCAGCTTCAGTTATTTTTTAATGACCAGCCAGCCTCACTTTCAGTTTAATAAGTAGTTACATTGAAAGTGCTAGAAACCCGTAGATCAGAAATTCAGCACAGACAAACCCACTCTCTCAGTACCTGTAGCTCTGTATCTCAATGCCATTTTCCTACATGTGTCTCTGACCAAATGCTGGGTATCTGAGTGAGTGCTGGGCGTCTGAATGAGTGCTGGGCGTCTGAGTGAATGCTGGGCGTCTGAGTGAGTGCTGGGTATCTGAGTGAGTGCTGGGCGTCTGAGTGAGTGCTGGGCGTCTGTCTGAATGCTGGGCGTCTGAGTGAGTGCTGGGCGTCTGAGTGAATGCTGGGTATCTGAGTGAGTGCTGGGCGTCTGAGTGAGTGCTGGGCATCTGTCTGAATGCTGGGCGTCCCTGAGTGAGTGCTAGGCGTCTGAGTGAGTGCTGGGCGTCTGAGTGAGTGCTGAGCATCTGAGTGAATGCTGGGTATCTGTCTGAATGCTGGGTATCCGACCGAATGCTGAGCATCCAAGGGTCTGCACAGCACTTTGTTACGGAGGACATTGCTCCTCCATAAAAGAGGTGCGTCGACCTGTTGAATCTTTTAAAGCGTTTTCATTTAAATCTGTAAATGTGCATTTTAGAACTTCAAGCCTCAGCTGAGCCCTCATTGCTTTTTAGCAGTCTTTTCGCTTGTTGACTTGGTTGTCTGTCCTCATGGCAGCTATGACACATCATCTCTTCTCTCCGCAAGGCACTTACCCACTGCTGTCCTCTTCATGTCTCCCATATCGCGTCCAGCTGACACTGCCTCAGGCTTTGCTCTCTGTTCTCAGACACCCCAATTTATCTGTAGCTGCATTTGCCTCTTGTCTCCCTCATGCCATCAGGAGGAAACCCATTGCCGTCGGGTCAATTCTGACTCATAGCGATCCTGTAGGACAGAGTAGAACTGCTCTATAGGGTTTCCAAGGAGCGACTGATGGATTGGAACTGCTGACCTTCTGCTCTATAGGGTTTCCAGGGAGCGGCTGATGGATTGGA